TCTGAAGGCTCAGTTCGCCAGAAGGTGGGTTCAATGATCAAAGAATTTGATCATAAGAAGGACATCTCATCTCATACAGAACACAAGGAAAGAAACCCCCATGAAGGGATCAATATGAGCACTGTACAGAGTCCAAGGACAAGTATTTCCAACCATGGAGAAGGGATCTTCACTGAGGAAGAAAGMAGCATTTCCACAACAGAACCAGGGACACCCGACCATGGGCTCTTTACCCACAACAGATGCTAGGAAGAGTTTAAGATGAAGTCTTAAAAAGGGTAAATGTGTACAATGTTTGTTCATATAAATAGCCTAACTTATAGCATATGAGTGTTCAACCTGGGTACATGGTAGAATCAAGTATCTGAATGTTTCAGATGGCAGGCGACTATGTAAGATAGTAGAAGCCAAATGTGTCTAAAAATGGAGGGTATATAACAAATACCTTTTCAAAACCATAGAATTCATGTATTTTCTCACAATAGAAGGTTCTAAGCCATGATTGATCATTGAAGATTAGTTTGATGACATGCTAGCATTTCTTTTCTTGTGTCTGATGCTCAACCTTTTAAACCAGCTTCCAAACATTAGACGAGCAGAAACCAAGTAGATGTYGATGGATTAAAGATTAAAATAAGATTTTTAAACAGAAAATGAAGAATTCTAAGCATCAGTGGCTTAGTGCATTACAAATAAATGCAACAAGTAACATCCTGCTCTTCTACTTTTTGAGCCTATAGATCTACAACAAGGTTGAAGAGATACAAGATGAACGCCCTAAAAGGGAGAAGACTGATGGCCGGAGTTCCATCCAAGTATTCTAATTGTTTGGGATGGTTTCTACCAAAAATTGATCTGCTCCATGGTATGGCTGCGTCAAAATAGTGGGTTCAGGCTACCATCAATGGCATAGACTACAGATCATAGTTCGCAATCTTGATATTGATTGACATTTCACCGTGGAAAGATGGCAAAATTTTGGGGATATTTCATTAATTTCGCTAAGATACTTAAAATTCTAAGAAAATCAATGAAATTTTCTAAAAGCATGGAATAATAAATAAACTTTTAAGGATCTATAGAAGTATAATTATACATCGAAGGCTAAAAATGCCATGGCAAACTATATAAATCAAATAAGAGAAGACTAGGGGTCTGGTTGGACAGAATTGGAATCCCATTCCTGATGGAATGGCACTCCCCCACTTGAGAGAATGGCTTAGGGATGGCAAWTTTTTCCATCCTCGATGGGGACCCAACTTCCCCAACCTGATGGAGTCGGGGATGGGGATTAATAGGAATCCCCGATCAGGATCATGGATGGGGATTGAGGTCCCC